TAGTACGGTTTTGCTGACATTCGCTGACAAATATTAAAAATCACTTTTTGAATAAATTGAACATTACTTCTTGTATAAATTCTTTAAATTTGTAAAGTCTTATTTAAAAATCGTCTTATAGATATAAGTAATCCAAATCAATTTCCAAGAAGGTATGGTAAAATAGGTGAACTTCAATAAAATACATTAATGTTAGTAGTTTTGTAGAAGAGTTAAAGGTATAATCACATTTCAAACTAATATAATTTATTTACTTCCAAATAAAATTAATTTAAGAATGTTGAAACATTTTAGTGACAAACCATTTTTTATAAATTTTAATACAAGTAACTAAAAATTTATATCTTTCTACTCTTTTCACTACAATTTAATTTCAATATTGATTTATTATGCACATATTTAAGTGCTTTTAGCCGCTTTTGCCTTTATTTTTTTTGGGATACTCTGACATGTGAGTGGCGCGGAACTTGAGATATTTCTGCAAAGGAATTTCATTTCCCAGAACTCCCACTTCAAAATATTTACATATGCACGCTTGCAGAGGCTTATTAGTTGAAGGGATGCTAAAGGACTTCGTAAAAAATAATTAAATATTGTTAACAGATTAGAGATTAGTAAGGTTTGTCTTAAAAAATCAAGTAACATATTTCTGAATACTGATGAGGATTGACTGATGAGGATTGACTTTCTGTGCTAATTTTATTAATTTTTATTTTGCATTAATATGCGTTTACAAAAATGTTACTCATTTACTGTTTAAAGTGTCCTGAAAGCAGCATGCAGTTCAGTGACACATTCTTAAGGATACTCAAGACAAAGTGTTATTGTTGCCATGTCAAATTACACTTCTGCTTAAAATGAAATGTGCTACGAATTTTAATGAAGCGTTTCTTACGCCAAAGTTGAAATGCTGAACTGTGAACTGGCAATAGTTATGGACATAAATTTAAAAAAAAAATTTATTGACACTCTACACACTTTTCACTGAGAATAATTAATCAATTTCTGTATGTTTCAACAATATTATACAGTTAATATGAAGATTTCTCAACAAAAGAAGGTATTTATAGCACAAATGAAAATATTTTTTATGTGAAATATTAGCTTGTAATTCATTTATATTTAAATCTAAATCAAATAATTTAATTTTAAAAATGAAGACTATATATTTATGAATATATTTATATTTATAAAGAATACATTTATGAAGAATATATTCACAAATGTAGAGTTATCCATGGTCCTGATCCTGATTTAACACTACTATTTTAAAGAGATGTGTCAAATTGAACTATCAATCAAAGTATCATGTATTGCTTAAGGCATGTAATTTTATTATAATAAGGATCATTTAATAACCACTGAATATGCTAATGGTTACAATTTTTCTTATTGTTTTTCGTTTAGTGGATGTGAAAACAATTAAAATTACTAACCGGATCTGGGCCAGTAAAAACCGTCAAAAGTTCTTAAGTAACAGACTAAAGACTATTATATTCACAAAACCAATGCATCAGTGTATGGTGTGGTATTTGGTCTGAAGTTATAAAAGTAAGTTGAGACACAAAACGTTAATTTTGATATTTTGGTTTAAAATTAAAAATATAGAAGTGGAAGTCATCTGGTTTAAACAGAACGGCGTAATAAGCTACATGCTACACAATACTTGTCTTCACATTGTTACGACAGAATTTTCGTGGACATGTAATCTCTTTTATTTGGTTATTTGCATTGGTCATTAAAATCGTTTTTAAAGAATCGTATATTGCCCATATATTCATAGACTTTCATAATGGGATATTATTATTTTGTCAGATTGATTGTCAGATTTGGACATTTGCACAGAAAATGTTCTGATGCCTTTGTTAACTTCATCTTTATAGTTAAAAGTATTCTGGTTACGCCTAATTTTTGTTATGTATTTTGTCAAATATTTTGTCATTATTGTCATGACAACCCAACGCAGAGAAACCTTTGTACTTACTATATTAAAATGCTTTCGTGACATTAGGATTAGGATTAGGATTTATTGCAATCCACTGTTGTCTTCCGGTTGAGCTTATAGTATATGGTTTGCTAGGATATTGGGATGTTTTACATTTGGGCACAAATCTATTCCAATTTTACAAGTACAAAGATTTTGTGTTGGTTACTCATTGATCTCAGTTGAGTTTTTCATGGGTTAACAAGTTTTAATATTCTATAATGGTTAATCAGAATAAGGACAGCAGTTTTACTATTCAAAAAATTTTTCAATTGTTTAATTAAGTAGGTGCTTTTCTGAAATTAATTAATAACTCTCATTGATAACATAGACTTCGTTTAGGAACATTTGACCAGCTCGAAGAAATTTTCAGCGCTCTTTCCTGTATACAACTTGTATTCAATTCTTTACTAATACTAGATATGATAATACTATTTTTTTTATTTTTGTCTTTTAATCAAAAATTTTATTTTTGATTTTTAATTCAAGAAATTTACTAACCCAAGAGAAATGTTTAAACGGGTTGAGTTAGTATTTTTGACCAGGTTACATGATAGGGTAGTACCACTTATCAGGCCTAGGTTTCCAGTATCACGCCAGTCACCTATTAGGTCTGGGTTTCCATCACCGGTATCTTGCAGTCCAAGTTTAGATATTGAGTTTCAATATATACATACATTGTGACCGAAAAGCTTTCGGAAATTCTCATTTAAAATTCGCGCGCTGTATATTTTTCGATATTTTAAGTTTATGTAGTTTGGCAGCACTGTCCTTAATTACTATGCAAAAAATGAGCGCGATCTGTCAGGACAGTTCGTTTACGGCAGCTGTTGAAACCAGTTCACCTCAGTAGTGCGTTGCGAAAAAAACAATGGAAAAAAATATTGAACAAAGAGTTTGCATCAAATTTTGTTTTTCGAACGAAATTTCGTGTGCAGAATCGTTGCGAATGCTACAAAAGGCTTATGGGGAATCAGTTTTATCGAAAACTCAAGTTTATGAGTGGTACAAAGCCTTTCAGGACTGTCGTACGACCGTCGAAGACATGCCGCGTTCTGGACGACCTTCGACCTCTACCACCGACGAAAACATTGAAAAGGCAAAGGAAATCGTGTTCAAAAATCCTCATGTGAGTGTTAGAGAGATAGCACGAGAGCTAGGCATCGGTCGTGAGATGGCTCGTTTGATTTTGGTGGACAATTTGTGTATGCGACGTGTCAACGCCCGGCTTGTTCCGATTCACCTCAATTTGTTCAACATTATCAACGATTTTAAGGCCAAACATTCAATAAATACCATCGAACAGCCACCGTATTCACCTGATCTTGCACCGTGTGACTTTTTCCTGTTTCCCAACCTCAAATTACCACTCAGAGGAACGCGTTTTGAATCCATAGAAGACGTAAAACAGAATTCGCAGAGGGAACTCAAAGCCATACCGGAAAGCGCCTATAAAAAATGTTTTGATGATTGGAAGAAACGTTTGCATTTGTGTATCGCTTCTAATGGAGCATATTTTGAAGGAGATAAAATAAATATTGATGAAGATTAAGAATTTTGCGTTTTATTTATTTATTTCCGGAAACTTTTCGGTCACAATGTATGTCTTAAATAAATTTTTTTTACTCAGTTGTTTTCAAATACTCAATATATTTTAAATTTAATATATTCTAACTAAATTTTTAGTGTTAGGAGGTTCTTAATTAGTGAAAATGGCATTTATGTTACAATCATATTTTTAAACTGAACTGCACTTTTAAGTTTTAACGACTGCAATTATTATTTTTTCTTTAATTTTTTCTTTAAAAAATTTCACAACCTTGAACACTTAAAAGGAAACCTCTAAACAATTTACAGAATTTTATTTTCAGTTTAATATTTACCAATTGAAAAAATATGTTGCATACTTTTCGACGTCACAAGCTTATAAGCTTGTAATCAAGATTTTTTCTTCGAAGGCGACAATATGTTTGTGTATTCTTTCGTTCTTTGGAATTTTTGTCCACATTTTTTTAAATTTTTTCGAATTAAAGAAAAAAATATTGCACAAATGTGTCAAAATAAACAAATTCTGGTGTTGAAATTCCAAACGAAATTGTGCACACCGGAATTTTTTATACTTCAACTCATCTTCAAATAACAAGGACACTAGACATAAGCGGCGTGCCGGTGATGCTGCTCCTTGCGGTTAAATAAATATGCTCATCCTGCTTTTCAGAGTCTCATTAAATCTTGAAAGTTTGAATGAAGTAAAAATTTTGTTCAATAATCGAAAAAACAGTTTTTTAAAATCACCAATTGCAATATGAATTGCAAAAATGTCAAGTTTAATCAACAAAAAATAAAATACATAAAGTAAAATAAATGAAAACCAGTAAAAAAATCTTATCATTTAAATTAATTGGAATATTCTTATGTCATTTTTACTCATAACAGTTTCATTATCATAGAAATGAGTAAAGGTGAATTTTAATTTTAATTTTTCGCCCAATTCGTAATATAACTTTTATGTTCTTTAATATTTAACGCAGAAGAACTCTCGCTGCAATTTAATTATTATCTCTACCAGGGTGGAAAGGATATTCTGCAAGAGTTGCATTTTTGCGTAAACTGCTTCTGAGATTGTTCTTTGGGAGAGCTTCAAGTTGAACTCATAAAAATTATAACATAACCATAAACTTTATTGTTTTATGAAATAAAATTTAAATTAATTCGAAGTCAAAAAACTTTAATTAAATATTTAAGTTAAAGATATACTCGT